TCAGATGCTCAGAGTGTCAAACAGTAGATCTCTTCTATCTGGCTTTATGCCAAAGCATATCCCTAAGTGCCTTAGGGTCTCAGGTTGAAGAGAGGCATATTGGCCCAAGTGGTGGAGGAGGAATTTGCAGCTGAAGAAGGTAAAGAAAAAAAAGAGGGAGGGGAATCTTTGCTCCCAAAGGAGAGGAAGGAATAAACAGCATGTAAAGGAAGATCTGAGATTCAATTTTATATATTAAGGAAGTTAAGCAGTGTATGAACTGCTTAACAGAGAAACTGTGAGTCTGAGAAGGTGGCATTGAGGAGGTGAGTCTGGGTCAGATATTTTCAGGATGGAGCGGAGGTTGTAAATGTGGAGGAATACATGGGAAATGAGTGCTAGATAAGTAGACAGCTCTGTAGCAGTCTTCAAAGAAGGATGGAACGCTTAAGAGTAAAAATTATCTAGAGTGGCTGGTGTAAACTATTTTCCTGGTAAGTAGGATGGGAGAAGGGCAGTTTGGAGGTTCACTTCCCAGATGAGGATGAAGAGATTGATGAGTAGGGATCCTTGGCTCCTAAGGAGGATAGAAGAATTATAAATGACACAAAGCTTCTATCCTCAGACCCTGAGTAACAATACAAAAATAGTTATTCTACTGTATCTGGGGGACAACTTAGGAAGGACAAAGTTTCTGGATGTTGCATCAGGTGAAGGATTCAAAAGCAGGTAGGAAAATTAATTCACTGAAATAAAAAGGGTAGTTTTTCTAGCAATTTTTCTAAAGATGAGAGAAGCATGAACCAGTGGGCAAGGAAACTGGGCATATAAGTAGTGGAAGGTCTGAACATGGGGGCTGCCAGAGAGACAAAAAGCTCTTGGGGGTGTTCACTAGTTTGGGGATACAGCAACATTAATGGGCGCCTGATTGGAGTAAAAGCAGAAGTCTCATGGGTAAATGATAGAGAGATACTGTGGACAAAGACTGCCTTGGAGGGTGATCATTTCAGAGAACTGGAATTGGAGACAGAAAGTGTATGCAGGCGCTGGCATGACTGACAAAGGTGGGAAGGTGTAGTGGAGGGTGAGCATGGTGAGTGATGTGGGAAGAGTGAACACAAGTGGTACAGTGAGAGGAGAATGTGAGGGCAGATGATCTATGATTACAAACTTGTCGTTTTCACCATATGAGTGTGAGTCCTTGACTGTGCTAATTTACATGGCTGTGTGGTTGAGAACTTAACTAATCATCATTTTTTAAAAACATTCACTACATGTCAGCTCTATCCCAGACAACAAGTGCTGACCTTTAGGGAGTTCATAATATACTGGGGCTGAAAATATTTCAGTGTGATAAATCCTACAGAGAGAAATACATAACTGCAGGGGAATAAAGCATAACCCAGCTCTGGGAACCAAGGAATGTCTTTCTGAGGAATGAGAAATATAAACTGGCCAGGTTAAAGGGAAGGATGGAGATAAAGTGGACTGTATAAAAGACCAGAGAGGAAGAAGAACAAATTTAGAGACACACAATTTGTCCAGCATTGGTAGAGCAAGCGGATAACATGTGTATGTGTATCTACTAGGCAATGGGAAATTATTCTCTATTGTCTAGTAAGCAGCATTCTCAAAACTTAGCTTTTGAAAATATAATTTATATGGGGAATGGCAAAAGCAAGTTTACAACTGTGAGCATGTGAAACACAGAGTTTATTGTTGTATTATTATTTACTAATTATTATAACCCCGCTTTCTACCCACACCACATATGGAGACTGGTTTAGAGACCAGAAGGACTGCAGGTCAGGAAGTCAGTTGGGAGGTCTTTGGATAAGTGAATCTGAAGCCTGAAAAGCAATATATTGTAGATGGCAAATACAGATCTAGGAGGTATTAGTACATGTGGGCCAAATGAAGCCAAGGTAGGTTACCAGATTGGCCAGGGAGACTGAAGAGCAGGGAGAGCCTAGGAAGCCATTCAGCAGGGACCAAGAAGTCCTTAATGAGGCCTGGAAAGGAAGGTCAGAGACAAAGGAAGATCTAGACTGGAGTAGAAAATCAAAGTCAAAACAAATGTTTCATGACAGGTGTGATTCTGAGGGAAAGAAGAGAGAACGGCAGGAAGAAGTAAGACAGGATAACAGAATAAGATATTTTTATTATAGCTGTTAATTTTTGTTTGTTTTCAAGGTTAAAAATATTTGAATGTTCATAAGTAATAAAGGTAAAGATCTAGGAAATTAGAAAACACTGAAGATAAAGAAGAGTGGGATAACTGATGGAACAGAGTCCCTGAGGAGGTAGGAAAGAAAAGGGACTCAGAGAATATTAGGGACTCAGAGAAAGGGACTCAGTGGGGAAATTATTTTTGAAGATATAGACACATACAAACTCATACACATATGTATGCATATACAAATATATGCATGCATGCACATGTGTACATCTGTATGTATTTATGTGTGCATTGTGTTTGCATGTGTCTGTACCCAGCTTGTTTTAAAAATAATTTAAAGAATAATTTATTAAAATAATTTAAAAATTAAAAAAAATAATTTAAAAATAATTTTAAAATAATTTAAAAATAATTTAAAAAATAATTTAAAAAATAATTTAAAGAATCTTACATTTTGTGACAGTATGGATGGACCTAGAGAACATTATGCTAAGTGAAATAAGCCAGTTAGAGAAAGACAAATACCATATGATTTCACTCATATGTGGAATCCAATGAATAAAATGAAAACAGGCAAAATAGACACAGGTTCATAGATAGAGAGTAGGCTGGCAGCTGGAGGGATGTGGGGGAGGCTAGGCAGTTACAGGAATTGAACAAAAAAAAAAAACAAGAGAAAAAACTCATGAACATGGACAACAGTGTTGCTATTGCTGGGAGAGAGTGGGTGGCGGGAAGTGAAGGAGCGTGTAAAGATGTTGGAAGGAGGCTTGAGTTGGGGTGGTAAACACACAATATAGTGTACAGATGATGTATCTTACAGTGGTGCACCTGAAAACTCTATTATTTTGTTAACCAGTTTCAATTCAATAAAAAGTAAAATAAATAGGTAAAATAATTAATTTAAGGCCACAAAAATGGTAACTCTGTGACATGATGGATGTGTTAATTAACTTGAATGTGGTCATCATTTCACAAGGTATTCATATATTAAATTATCATATTGTACACTTTGTAGAGATATGATTTTTATTTATCAATTATGCCTCAATAAAGCTAGATATTTTAAATTAAATTAAAAAACTAACTACGAATTTACTCTGAGAAAATTGATGTGTTAACAATCAATGGGTCTTCCAATTGGTGTGCATAGTATATGTCTCCATGTATTTACATTTTTTAAAAAATCTCTCCTGGCAGTATTTTGTAATTCTCAGTGTACAGGCTTTGCAAATTTGAGTTAAATTTATTTTTAAGTATGTTATGTTTTTAACATACATTTTGTGTGCTTGTACATTTGCATTGCAATCGGAACTTTTAAACTGTGACTGTGTAGCTGTTTGCTGCTAGGAAAGAAAAATACAATTGGTTTATATTGTCCTTGTACTATCTAAATAAACAAATAAATAACTTCGGGGAACTTTTTTGTTTCCAGGCAAAGTAAAATGTAACGGTAACAAAGGAGACATTGAAAGGCATAATGACATTAACACTACTTTCTCTGAGAGTGGAGGAAATGAGGGAAAGACAGGTTGAGAGATAGGATAAATTAACGAGAGTAGAATAATAACACAAGCAGTTTTCTCCAGACAGTTTGGAAGTCTCAGTTATGCAGAAGGAAAATTCTGTTGAAAGGGAGCAGCAAGAATTTGGGCACTGATAAAGTTGTATATTCATTTTGAGGATAATTTAATAGGACTGAGGAAGAGTCAACTGGCCTAAAGGGTAGTCAAGACTGTTTGTATGGCTGCGTCATCTCCTTCATGTCCTAAGAGAGCTGAGGAAAACACTGGTTAGATTTAATTGAAGCCTGAAAGTTTGCAAGGAGAATGATGCAGGAACCAACTGGGGCTGAGACATTATTGGTCATGGCAGAAGAGATGGACAAGTAGATTAGATTGGGAAGAATGTAAAAGACTTCTCACATTAGCAGCTCACAAACCTTAGCATGAATTGGAACTACCTCATGGACTTGCTAAAACATAGATTGCTGCCACCAAACCCATTTTTCCCATTTGTTAGGAGAGTGGTAGGGTTCAAGAAATTTGTAAGTTCCCCAATGACGCTGGTCTGGGCTCCACACCTTCCTCCTGGGTGATAGCCCACACTTCAGGGTCACAGAGGTGACTCAGTTTAATAAGGTTTCCACAGACAAGATTAAATTTAACACACTAAGACCACCACTATGCTCATTTCAAAGACCAGAAAATTGTTAGTCAGAAGACAGGGACTTGTCCAAAATCACACAATCTGACAGCAGATCTCTGACCCGGGGTTTTTCACACTTTGTGTGTGTTATTTCTAAATGATGCAGCTGCCTTCGTGGCCTCTGTATTTGTCAGAATGCCTATGACTGCAGGGGAAAGATACGCAGGGTCTGCATTGCCCACTGGCCTCAATCCTCCTCTTCTACAACCTGCTAATCCGAGATTATTTTTTTTGATTCAGACAGCAGCCTTTCTGGGCATAGACTAGGGCTTTTGCAGTTTATTACCATTTACATACCTATAGAGATTATACAGACTGTTTTTGATTTTCTAGCAATTCCTGTTCTTCTCAGAACCTGTGACACTGCCTGAGTTTGGCAATGTTTCTGAGCCTTGTACTGCCAGAAAGTCTTCTAGCTGTGTGGAGATCCTCCAAATAAGGACACAGCCTGTCTGCGGGCAGGGCCTGTAACTATGCACTTTGTGCAGAGCTTGTGTGTGACTATCTATAGGGAATATGTCTATGTGCATAATGACTGGAGAATCTGTGTGTGCGTGTGGAGGACTTGGAGTTGTTTGCAAACTTTTATATTCACTCTGTTAATGTTTACAAAGTCTGAAGCTCTTTCTCTCCTATGGCACAGGAGAGGATTCTGCAGAAAATCATGACTCTCTTATCTGCCAGCAGCACAGCCACTATGAACAGCTCTGACACTCGCATGGCAGGCTGCCTCCTCATTGGCATCCCTGGGCTGGAGCATCTACACATCTGGCTCTCTGTTCCCTTCTGTACCATGTATGTTGCCGCCCTGGCAGGCAATGGCATTTTAATATGTGTCATTCTCTCCCAACCAAGCCTGCATGAGCCCATGTACATATTCCTGTCCATGTTGGCCAGTGCTGATGTCTTGCTTTCCACTTCCACAATGCCCAAAACACTAGCCAACTTCTGGCTAGGTTCTAGCCACATTTCCTTTGATGGCTGCCTCACCCAGATGTTCTTCATCCACTTCCTCTTTGTGGCTGACTCTGCGGTCCTGCTGGCCATGGCCTTTGACCGCTATGTGGCCATCTGCTATCCTCTGCAATATGCCACCATCCTCACAAACACGGTCATTGGGAAGATCGCTGCTGCCACCCTGACCCGCAGCTTCATCATCATGTTTCCGTCCATCTTTCTCCTCAAGCGCCTCCACTATTGCCGGATCAACATCATTGCGCACACATTTTGTGAGCACATGGGCATCGCTCGTCTGTCCTGCTCTGATATCTCCATCAATGTCTGGTATGGGTTGGCAGCTGCTCTACTCTCCACTGGTCTGGACATCATCCTTATCACTGTTTCCTACATTCACATACTCCGAGCTGTATTCCACCTCTCCTCTCGAGATGCCCGGTCCAAGGCCCTGAGCACTTGCGGCTCTCATGTTTCTGTTATCCTACTCTTCTATATCCCTGCCCTTTTTTCTGTCTTTGCCTATAGGTTTGGCGGGAGACACATCCCACGCTATGTCCACATCATTCTGGCTAATCTCTATGTGGTCATCCCACCGATGCTCAATCCCATTATTTATGGAGTGAGGACCAAGCCAATTTTGGAAGGGGCTAAACAGATGTTTTCAAATCTTTTCAAGGAATCTAGCTAAAGGCTTTCAACTTGAGCTCAATGTAATCCCTTTTTATAGCTATTAATTATTCTATATTCTCCGAATTTTCCTCTCTACATCTTCCAGTTATCTTGTGTCATTCTCACCCATGTCCTAACTTATTTAAATAAATGTTATACTCAAATTGGTGCTCATCAGATTGCAGAGGGGTTAGGAGAGAATGGGTAAAAAAAGGTGAAAGAGATTAAGGAATACAAATTTCCAGTAATTAAAATAACCACAAGAATGCAAAGTACAGCATAAGAAATACAGTCAATAACATAATAATTATGTATGGTGTCAGATGGGTACTAGATTTAACAGGGGATCACTTTGTAAGGGATATAAATTGTCACGACCACCGACTGGCAGTGACTTCGGAATGCTGCAGATGGCTCGTTGAAACACCAGAAAAACATACACACGGACAAACAAGTCCTGTGGAGAAATAGGGATGAAACGGCCACTCTCTTTAGGGGGGAGCCTGCCATCTCCTGCCCGAGAAGGCTTTTATTGGGTTCATTTGCATAAGAATTCAGATACAGCTCATTACTCATTGCCAGGAAGTAAGAATCAAACAATAGGTAACAAGAAAGTCTGAGGGCCTATTTTGAGTCAGGGTCAAAGAGCTATAAAAAACTTTAAGCAACAAACTTACTTCTTCCTTGGACCCTTATCATTCAATTGAGAGAATTCTAAACAAAGCAGGTTTCACAGGATTTTACATATTCTTTCTTAGATCTGATCACCCAGGGAACCCCCCCTTTCTAGCACAGGGCCGCACCACCCTCTGTCATTGTTTCAGGCTTAGGTGGAGCAAGGGAAGTAAGGTAGCCAAGAGATTAGATTTTCTCGCAGACAATGAGTCTGCTATGTCAAAGCCGAGGGGTGAGGGTCCATCACCCCCTTTTCCTGTAGCCCCCAAAGTCCTTCCCTGGGGGCCTCCCACGTGATCGTGCCTGTCTTAAGTCATTCCCCCCTTGGAGAATCTTACCTGTCATTGGCTAACTGACCAAACACTGGGGGCCAGGCAGGGTGAAGTAAAAGGAGCAGAAGTGGCGCTCCAGCCAGAAAGATAAGCTTTTGTCTCCTTGTTGGCTTATAGTCCAGGTTGTTCCCTCAGCCTTAGCCTTGGCGGGGGTTACAGCTTTTGATACCAGGCAGGGCTGTTCCCAACAATAAATGTCTAATCACTATGTTGTACATGTGATACTAATATAACATTATATGTCAACTCTAATTGAAAAATAAGTTAAAAATCAATCCATCATGGAGTAATTCAGCTCAGGCAGTGGCACTGAGACTAGACAACTTCCATTGGACAGCTCTCTGTGACTACACTTGAGGGAGGTATTTTAAATCTCCTAGTGCTGATTGTAATAGGCTGTTTTCATTTTCATGATCATTTACTGAAATAAAATAATGTCCACTTTTCTATAGCTCTTACCAACTCACAATATAGATTAGTGGGCATTTTTTATACTCTTTTGTTCACTAACAGGAATGTAATAATAGTCTAGAAAATCTACAATCAACAAAGATTACAAGTTTTGTAATCTCTCTCTAGAGGTGGTTTCTCATATATATTACGTACTTGCAATAAAAATATGTCTGTAGTATTATGTGGAATTTAGCAATATGCATCAAATGCCTCAAAAATGTTCATTCTCTTTGACCTACTAATTTCTTTGCCTGGAATGTAGCTCAAGAAAATAGTCAGAAATGAGCCAAGAAAACAGTCAGAAAATCTTTTGCAAAGATTTATGCAAAAGTCATTAACACCAGAATTATTTACAATAGCAAAAAACGAAAAAGAGAAATAGGTTTAATAACCTGCATGAATAATAATAATTAAATAAATAGTGCTATATAATATATACTTACTATCAAACATTAGTCAGTCATTAAAAGTAATGTTTATAAAGAGTTTTTATTGATTTGCAGAAAAGTCTCTGGTAGAATATAGAATATAAAGGAGTGAATATAAATAAAATAAAATAAATGTTCTACTAAAATCCACCTTTGACTTATTTTTTTAAATGTGTAGAATACCCACCTCACTTTTTTTCACCTATTATTCAAATGCCTTCTGACCCTTCACCATTTCAAGAAAAACGAACTCAGGCAATGTGATAACTTATCTGGTATCTACCATCCAAATAGGACTTTTCTTAGTATTCATTTGCATTTTCTCCTTAACAAGTTACTTAATTCCTTGCATATCATTTTGACATTTAAATCTGCCAGTTCAACATCTTTCTCACTATGTGTACCCCAAAGAACTCTCATGTCTAAAAATTCATAATCTCATGAAATGATACTTATTTTTATTACTAGCTACACATGTCCATAATCACATATGTGTATGCACCCAAGTTCAGAGATGCTAACACACAGCAACATATGCTACTGGGCACATCCGTTTATTAAAATGTAGATAATTGCATAGGGATAGAGAACTCTTTTCCAACTAAATATGCTTTGTATTTAAAAGTTATATTCATCATTAAAATGAGAAGTCAAAATACCTACCTATATCTAACAGATGTTGATTTGTGTATTCTTTAATGATTTTAAATGAAATATAAACTTCTCTGTGTAATTTGGTAGCTTGTTCACTAATTAATTATTCACACCAGAGATTATGTTAGCCTAATGTACTCTGAGATTGAGAAGAGCTACTCAGCCAGAAGTTTAGTCCAAAATCCTAGACAATCTAGTTCACATCTCAACTCTGTCCACTCCCATACCCTGCCTACAATGAAAGATCCATTGTGTTGGGTACTGAGGATATTGGCTCTGTTTTATCAGAGATCTTTTTATGTTTGTTCCTTTAAGCCTTGTCTAGACAGCATTCCTTAAAGAAAGGGGTAATTTTCAAATACTTTTTATCACTATTGTCCCAAAGCAAAAAAACCTGCTCATAGCAGAAATGCATATCCAATATTTTCAAATGATGTTACAAGTGGCTAATTTTTCCCACTATATAAGGGGTCTTAAAATGCTAGAAAAGATAATCACAAGTTTGATGAAAAAGAAAACAAGGACATAAATAGAATATGCTTAATTATTAATAAGAAAAATACAACTAAGACTACACCAAAATACTATTTCTCACTTGCCTAACTGGCAAAAATGAAAAGGATTAACATTGTGTTGGCAATGTTGTGAGAAAACAGGCTCTTTCACAGACTGCTCATGAATATAATATCATTTGTGAGATTTATCATTTAATCTAGAAATCACATTCTAGGAAATTACCTTTCGAATATATTGTCACAGTACAAAACAACATCTACATAGGATTAGTCATTATGGCAAAATTTTTGTAACTAAAATGTTTGAAACAACTTCATTTAATCCACACCCTTATGCTTACCAGGAGTGTAACTGTTCCCAAGTTACCTAAAGGCTTGAGTCCAACTCCTTTGGGTGAAAGTTGCAGTCACCATATTCAGTGCATACTAGTTATTTGTTGGGGAGCTATACTTAACCTCTTTAAGGCTTAATTTCCTTCTCTGTAAAACAAAAGGCAATAACATCTACTTTACTGTTGTTTTAATTGTTATTAGCTAAATATAACAAACAATAATTGGTATATTAATGAGCATTTTGTTGCTTTCATTTTTTTTACTATTCCAAAATAGCTGAAATATATTTCTTGTGGGGTATATTTGTGTGCACCTCTAGGAGAACTGTATTTCTATAGGTTAAATGCCTAAAAGTGAAACATTTAGATCACAGATTATCATATTAACCTTTAACAATTTATTAAATGTTTCTTTCTGTTTCAAGATGAAATTTTTCTCTATATCTTCTTATTTTATTACATTTTTAATTATATAATTAACACATCTTATTAGTAAATAATTATAGTTAAGAGAATGGACAGCAAATTTTCTCTGATGTTATTTCTACAAAAGTTAACATGTTCTTGTCCAGAATTAAAGGGAGAATTTGCCACATTTTTTGTGTGTGTAGTAAAAACCACCTCCATTAAGAAACAATGCAAGGAAGACTTGCCTTGTAGATTGAGGACTGAGAATCCGAGAGGGAGATTGAATAAGGTAGGTGTGATCAGGAAAGTATGACACATTTATGTAGGGTTTGAGATATTTTTTCTCATTGAGAAGAAATACTACTGCTCTTCTAGGTCTCGATCTCAGCTCATCCCTAATATTATCTGTATTTTTATCCACCCATTCTTAGTTACCCTGAGACTGCCCAAATGAATCATGGCTTTAGTATTTCAATTTGACAAATTTCAAAGGAATTGAAATTGAAACAACAGTGAGAAAAAGAAAAGCTCAGTCTCTTCCCCACCCAGCTTGCATTTTTCCAAGCCTCACAGCCCTCAGTTTCCTTATTATTTTAAACTTTAGCCCTAGAACAAACATGAAAAGACTTCAGATGAAAATTTTTTCTCAACTTCCAAGTGTCACTGCCTATTGATGATTTATTTATTTATGTATTTATTTATTTTTTATTCATTTATTCTTTCTTCTAGTCATATTAATGAGAATTTTTTAAAAAAAACTCCTTTTTTGCCTATGTCCATATGAATTATTACATGGTATGTATGTATATACAGGGATTCCATAAAAATATAGGGCCCCAGAACAGACTGGGCACTTAAGGTTTTAGCCAAGAAGAGGTAAGGGGAAGGTTGTGGTTTGGCACTTGAAAGGAGAGGAAAGCAATTCACATGGATAGAAGGAAAAGCAAATGTTTACTAAATAAATGTTTCTGGGCATCTTTAACAAGAGAGGACTTTGATCAAAGGGGCCTTGCTAGGTTCCTCTCTGTCTATCACACCTAGTTCATATTAAACTACAGTTATCTACATGATAGCTTCCTTCCTGCAGAAGGTCATCTATCATTCTTTTAGGCAGTTAGCGGGAAGGTCAAAGGGTTTTCCTGAGTCTTTTGTGTTTTAAAAATAACCAGTTTAAAATAATTGATATCCCAAAGAGGCATATTTTGGTGGGGCAAACTCCACT